GTCAGTCAGCTATTTCTGTTTTTATTTTCCAAGCCAAGTAACAGAAAATCAAACTGAGCTGAGTGTACAATCTTTAAAGTTTGTATATTTCTGTCCTCAACAGTTCTTTGCTACCTAAACCCAAGAAGTTAAGTTTCAGAATCAGTAACTCTGAACAGCAGAATAAGTGCTCTTGAGAAATGGTACAAACATCTCTGTAGATATGATCAACCAAACTCTCGCACTTTAAGTGAGTGTCCCTCGTTTCAGAGGAGAGAGGAGTCATGGAAAGCACAGCACAGGTAGATGAAACTACAAAAGCTTTGATAAGTTGAAGACAACCATCCTGATGAAAAATGCTAACTTCAGGTTCCTGAAATTTGTACGGTTTTGCTTTAAAGTTCACTCAAATTTAAATTTTATAACTCAACATTAAAGCCAAAAACTTGGTAATTTTAAAGGGAAAAAGCTTGCTTAAGAAATTATTTCATAAAAGTAATGAATGATGCAATGGCAAACAAATGTTCCTTTTAGCTACTCCAGTTTGAAAGCACATATATGCCAAGGACGCACTGATACAGAAATACACGGATTAAATATTATTTCAGATGAACTCATGCTACAGGTTGTACAAATACTGTGAAAAGTTGCTGTATGACAATGTTGTGAGGTTTTTTGTTTGCTTGGTTTTTACATTTTTGATACTCCTGTAATAGCCCACAATTTTGCATACATACAATGCATGCATATTAACACAATAAAGGATATTTACATAATGATCACGGAAAATTGACTAGTGCTTTGCAGAAACCATGTTCACCTTAACAAAGTTACTAATATATCCATTTTCACAGAAAAAGTGCTTGAAAATCTTAAACACACAGAAATTATTCTGCAACTGAGATGTACTAAATTCTTGAGAAACATGCAGCATACACAAGAACAACCTGACAAAAGTTCAAAGTAAATTTAAATAACCTAAGTAAAATGAAATATGACCAGACACAGTACTTAATTATTTTAAAAATTATCGGATGGACACATTTTCATGGTTATTTCATCCCTAACCCACACTGGCAGGCTAACAACCAAGCACAGCAATTTAACCGTGCTAGGATAGCAGGATCACCTCTTGAGTTAACAAAACCTTTATTTTTTATTTATTTTTTAACCCTTGGGGTTTCTTTTCCCTGGATGGTTCTTGAACACATGCTGGACAGGCTGTCACTACTTGCATTATTAGCTCTGATAAGCACACAGCTCTAGGTGGTATAGCTGCAGGCTAAGGTAATGGACTGTATACAGATGGACCCCCGTGCTCATGCAGAGCACTACTGAATGTATGGGGGCTCCCTGTAGGGACACATATGAACCTAGCGTGATCAACTAAATTGTAAAGGTCCATACTTGTAGAATAGCTTTATTTACTATATTACCAGTGCATTTACCACTATTTCCTAAAGACAAAATGAAACAAAGGTGTATTAATAGGAGCTGTGCAAACAAAATTAACATAAAGCAGAAAAATCCTACACTGAGAGCAAGTTAAACGAGTAGCTATGCCACTTGCTATAAACAGCACAATTTCACGTCCATGTGCACACTCTGTAGCACACAAACTGAATCGCAGGAGTTTCAATTACCACCTTTTTTTAATAGGGATATCAATGTGGGTTTTGCTTGTCTATTTGATCATAAAATTTGCATCAGAAATATTCAGTTTCCACCTCTAACTTCCACACAATTTGATCAAAGCTGGCTTACAGGTGACAGAGCAATGAGGGGGAGACAGATGCATCCACAAACCTCATTTTCCTAAAGATACACAGCCGAACTCTATTCAGAAGAAAGAAGAAAAAAATTATAATTTTGCCTAACATCACATAAAGAAAAAAAAGATAGCATTTTGCTTTAAAATTTATGGATGCAAAAACATGGAGAAGCTGCAACTTCACAATTCACAGCTCAAGAACCTCCGATATCAACTGCTGCCACAGAAAATGAAGATGCTGAAACCATATTCTTCACCTTACACAGAGAAAGTTCAGAGGAGAAAAAACACACACACACACACACACACCCCCTTTGGTCTATCCCCAGACAAAATTATACAAATAGCATGCTCTCAAAATATATTAAACTGACATCCTCTTTCAATGACCTACATGACAGTAATTGCTTTTCCTCTTTATTTTTCCTCCCAACAGGTACAGAGTTCAAAGTAAAAATGACTCAACTATCTCTTAAATGAAAAAGAAAAAGGTGTATTAAGTCCTCCTGGCAGCATTGGAAGTTACCTGTCATATGATGCCACTGTCCTTTGGCAGACACTCCCAACTATTCCCCACTTACTCATCTCAAAATTATTATAACACTATTATGTCTTTTGGAGTACCCCTAAAAGCAGCTGCTTGAAAATACGCTGGTCCACTTTAACTAGACTTGACTCTAAACCTAGTGATAAATGTCTAGAAGCCTCCTTTGAAGTTTCTTAGGTAACAGTGAAATACAAAAAGCCACATACCATTGGGGAAACAATTGTCCCTTCCTCCCCCAGTAAAAATCGCTGAAATAATACACACAAAACAATATGGCAACAAACTAAAATGCACTCCTTTCTCAGTAAACACTGCTGGAAGGTGCACAGAAGACACTGCTGAACATTTGAAGAAACAAGTATTACAACAAGTTACACAGTGTGGGAGGTTTGCTATACAGCTGGAAGAAAGTGCAGATGCTTCCAGCTTCTCTCTGCTGATGGTATTTGCATTTCAATAATGAAATATATGAAGAATTTTATTTTTCTTGCTAGCCGCTAAAGGAGAGATGTACAGAAGAAGATGTATTCTCAATGGGAAATGGCTTCTTTAATAAAAACCAATGTTTTATGGAAACACTGTGCAAGTGTAACCATTGATGGAGCAGCTGCTTTGACTGGACTAAAGTAGGGATTCCAGGGTAAGGTTACAGAGGTAGCACTGCACGTGGAACTCCTTCAGTGCATCACTCATAGGCGAGCTATTGCAGCAAAGAAGTTGGAGCCAGGAGTGCACAAAGTGCTACACGATGACATCAATGCGGTTAACTTTGTAAAAACAAGCCCTTTAAACAGTAGCATCTTTACCAGGCTTTGTAATGAGATGAGGAAGGACCAGAAAATCTCTTGTACCATGCAGAGGTTCGCTGGTCAGCTTGTGGCAAAGTGCTTCAAAGAGCTGTAAAACTTGCGCATGTTTCTTTGACAAAAGGGCAAGTGTTCCAAATTTGCTGGCCTTTTCTGCGATGTCCGGTGGCTGTGAGTAGTTTGCTACCTAGCAGACATTTTCCAAAAAATAAACACACTTAATGTGTCCCTTCAAGGTGAAGGTGATGTTTTAACGAGTGAGAAAGCAACTGCTTTTGAAAAGAAACTTGTGCGATGGAGAGAACATTTTGAAAACATGTTAGGATCTGTTCCCCCCATTATGTGATTTTTTTGGTTTGTTTTTTGCCTTTTTTTGGTTGCTGAACACAATATGAGTGTGTCACCTATAAAACCTCTCATATCTGTACACTTTAAAAACGTGGAAACAGAATATTCTAACCTATTTAAAAATCTTCCAAGTGAGAGTTTCAGTGGGTCTTGAACCTATTTGTTAAAAATATAAACACACAACACCTTCCAATTAGTTTGGAAGAACAACTGATTGACATCAGGGAAGATGGTCATTTACTAGCCCAATCTCCGGCAAAACCTTTGCAAAAGTTGTGGAAGGGACAGAAAAATGAGTATCGTAATTTAGTAACTGCAGGCAACGATGCACTTCTCCCATTGCGATCTACGCATCTTCGTGAGGCGTCTTTTTCAGCTATGACACCCATTAAAACCACATATTGAAATACACTGAACTTAGAACCAGACCTTTGAATTGCTGGCTCGCAAAGTGCTAAACAAAGATTTTAAAAAATGATGAAGCATATGCAATTGTATAGTTCTGAATAAAAACATTATTAATAGCAATATTTTTAGAGCAGAAAGTTTTTCATACCATTTATAAATAACATAAAAATTATTTTAAAGTACTGTTTATTTCATCTTTCTCATCTATTCTTAATTTCTATTTTTGTGTTTTATAATGTACATAATATACTCTCCAGTGGTACGTGCATATAATATATAAGTCAATATATATATATATTGTGATTGAGTGCTCCGAAATTTTTTACTGATGAGGTGTGTGATCAAAAAAGTTTAAAGAGCACAGATCTATATGACAAGAGGCAAGTGCCCTTTACGGAAAGCATGCCACTTGTACAGAATAATTCTGTGGCCGAATTTTTTTTTTTTTTCCATTCCTACACTCCTGTTACTGCAACGTTCTCGGCTAACCTGTGCGTAAGTAGATCTATCTTTCTGGTACTTCAAAAAGTTCCAGATTTCTTCCAGGAATATACAAACAGTTGGGTGTCAGAAGAAGTGGTGATACCCAACTTTAAAGAGCTACTGTCCAGTACTCTTCAAAAGAAAATGAAAACATGCAAAAGTGGACTGCATCATCCTATTTCCACGTCTGTCTAATCACACCTGTGTCTTTATGTGCATGTATCATTAAAATACTGGGGCAGGGAAAGGATGCATTTAGTTGGGTATATTTAAATAAATTTGTCATAATGAGGGAGGCCCTAACTGAAGGCTCACATGAGGCAATTCCACTTCTATAAGTATCAAATATTATGTACAGGAATACAGTAACTCTTGTGTTGCTCACCACATAGTCTAGACCGAGATGTGGAAAGTTTTATATTGGTCATACTAAATTCCACAGTCCTCGAGAACAAGTAATTTTGGAAAACAGTCCACATCACCAAGCAGCCAAAGCCAACACAGCAGATTTATACGCTTTAGTACTGGTTTCACAGTGAACAGATAAGATGCAGATCATATATATTAATTCTCTGACTACTTGACTTCAAAAACAAGGATTATATTCAGGGCACAAAATTGAATACATCTGATCTCCCAATGATTATTTGACTCTTACCTTTCACTTTATCTGAACACAGCTCCTTGGCTCGCTCCCTCATTATTAGTGGAATCAAAACATCTTTTTCTACATGTCTCAGCTTAGAATTTTCTGCAAGAGTGAAAAAACAAAGAACAGGAAAAAAAAGATTTTTTTATCTATACATCAGAGAAAGTCAATCTACAGAACCAACACAGCATCGTTTATCTAAGATGTACTAGTATACTAAAACTGTCACAAACTAGCAGCATAAAGTACCATGGAGGGACCACACAGATCAAAGGGCAGGAAAGTAAAAGATTTAAAATTGCTCATATACAAATATAAGCATTACCCTAAATATTTCTGTTCTGCTTAATGTGCACAATGAACCAAAAATAATGGAGAAAATTGTGGCAGCACATTCTAATTTCTGCCTTACTAAACAGAAGGTCTGCACACAGACTGCACAAAGGTTGATAACTGCTTTTAGTTCAGGACACTAGTATTTTTCTACGTACATTATCTCTACAATCTCGCTTTTTTACTCACTGTCATAAAGCTGAGAAATATAGAACCTGAAATTTGTATTGCTACATGGAAGACTTGATTTCTTTAAAAAAAATCCTAAGACAACTCTTAAAGGGAGGATCTAGGAGTTTTCATTAAGAAATTCAACTTAACAAGAACAAATGCTGCTGCCTGGATTCTGCATTTAAAAGTACAGCTGCAGTTTGCTTTCAAAACAGAATTCAGTACTCTGAGTGATTCTGAATAAACAACATAAGCCATTTAGAAAAAAAATACTGCACTTCCAAATCTACTTTCTTCAAAGCAAAGGGATAAGAATTTATCAAGCACAGCTTTTTGCTTCTCAGCTTTTGAGCTGAAAATCCTTTACAGGATATTTGTTCAGAACATTGTATAGTCCAACAGTTATACCAAATACCTGGTTTTCCTCCTCAAACACACTTTATTCACCCTTTGATGTTGTTATTACACTTCAGAATAGCATCAGCTGTGACGCTCGCATTATGAAAACCTACTGCCCGATACACTTACTTTGAGTGACAATTAATTTAACAATTGCTTATAAAAAATTTAGATTAAATGAAAGAAATTAAAAGTGCGATGCATTGAAATGAAGGAAAGAAGCAGAATTTGTTACCTACCGCTTTCAAACGCTATCTATTTTTCAGAGCATCTGCAGTTACTTCTAGATCAAAAGGCAACAGAGACTAACATTTCTCTAGTAATTTCTAACTCATCACGTTTTAAAGTTTACTAATGCTATGAGGTTACATTATGAGTTTACTAAGTATTGAATCTGTGGTATTACTAGCAGAATCAGGTAACGAAATCGAGGATTACAATGAGCAATATACAGAATCTCAACTAAAGACTTCTCTTTCTCTTCAAAAATTTCTTACTTGGAATTTCAACAGCAAAAGAAAGAAAATGAAGCGTCTTCTGTAAATACACCAAACATGCCAAACACAAATAGCTCACAACTTAGATTTGCTTCTATGCTCTGATTTTGATGACGGAAACAAAATTAAATAGCCTTCATTTTAAATTTCTGCAGAATATCAGTACAACTACTGTACCGAGCACTTATTATGTTACAGACAACACAAAGCTGTCAAAAATTTATGCATGTTTTTTAAAAAGCAGGACAAATCAGTTCAGCTGAATGACATGGCAGGAAACAGCACCACCAAGCTATGCACTTCAGCTCTACTTTGAACAACTTCAGTGAAAGCAAGCTGGCTCTACTGCAATGTGAGACTCTTCCCCCTTCGCCTGCACAGATGTGCTCTGCAGCCCTGTGGGGAACTGAAAGAAGTTTATTTGGTTTAAAGGTAAATAAATTTCTTATCAGGCAATTTTTCAGCCAGACAAATTCTCCAATGCAGTTCACTATGTACTAGCATAAAAGTACCAGGAAAGGGAACTGTGTGAGACTAGGAAAAAGCAGAGGGAAGACTGCAACTGTCATGAGCACCACTGCCTCAAACCACAGCGTAAGTCTTGGTTGGTGTTCCACCACGACTACCCCCTTTTTTTAATTAGTTATGCTGCTGCTTAGAGCAGGCAGAAACAAAGCTGATCTGGGTGTGGATACAGGTAAGCAAGTGGGTTGCCAGCTGCCATCAAAATGGAAGTTTTAACAGTCCCCCACTGCCCTCACCCTCACGTCAGCACTATTACACACTTGACCACACAGTAAGTGACGAGTTCAATACAGAAAACTAACCCAAATACATGCAAAAAAGTGCTTCTCAGTGGGTTTACACTTTAGAGTAACTACACCTAATTATCAGAGTTCTAATAATTACTTCATTTAAATTTCATACAGCAGTATCTACCCCAGCATACGTATAAATGTAGTGGAAAGCACAGAAGTCTTTAGGAAGGGTGGCTGGGCTTCCTTCACCGGCCAAGGTGGCTGGCAGCATCCGCGGTTCCCACAACAAAGCACCAGGCTCCAACACAGGGGTCAGCCACCCACTACTGACAAAGAGAGGAAGGAGACAGTAACGCAACTGAAGGCTACAAAGGAAACTGAAGCCTAGAACGGGTTTTATCTGAGCTTAAGCACGCAATTTTCTGTTTTATTATTCAAAAGACCAGGGGTGTAAGACTGATAGCAAGAAGTAGCTGTACTGGTGTTAACACCAGTGCAACCAGCACCATGACAGAGCTGTGCTCCAGGCAAACTCCCTCTTTTTAGTCCAATGTTGTCAAACCTGCAGAGGCTTAAAATGCAGGAAGGAGAGGGCACAGCAGGACACAGGGCATTGTCCAGTACGAAGAATCAGAAGAGAACTACAACAGTAATTCAAAGATAATTATTCAACGGTATAAAGGAAAGGGGAATTAAGACCACTTCTAACATCATCTACAGTTTTTAAAAGAAAGTTTGTCGGTAAGTATCAGTTTTTAAACCATGAAATGCACACGCAATTCAAATCATCTTATAGTATCCAGGACTCAGTTTTAGTTATCTGGGTGCAACCACCTCTCCAGCAGCTCAAATGCAGATGTTCAGTTTGGGCAGTACTCTAGCTACTCATGAGTTTCAACTACAACATTTAAGTATTCTAATATTTTTCCTTGATTCTAAACTACCCATTGCATTACAATTAGAGTGGGTTTCCTTCATGGATCTTAAAACACTTTATTGAAGTTGGTATCTCTAAGCATTTATACAAAATACTAAAGTAAGGCACAAATATTAACAATACCGGATACTAGCTAGAAAAATACACTTACATGCAGAGTAACTGCATTTCTGATACCAACATAAAAGCACTTGCAAGGAGATCATCATCAACCCAACCTAATCAGCTCTGCAGTAACATATACGGCAAGAACTTTCAAAGAAACAACACCTCAGAAGTAAGATTTCATCAAAAAACAAGATAGCCATGATGTGAAACCATCAATTCCTTTTGCCTTTTTTCAACTATATTACAGTTTCTAGAATAAATACTTTTTCCCCTTTTGAAAGTTCACTATCCTGCACTAAGAAAGATAATTTTAATACCAGATTTGCTGCAGTCTAGTCCCTAGGATCTGCATTACAACAGACCTACTACTGTTTTATTTTATCTTCAAAACATCAATAAAATTATCCCCAGACAAGCAAAAAATATGTTTTCCTACAGTCTGCCTTCTGCATTTGAAAGCTGATACCTTTGGTTCCCACCCACATCCTCCACACGCTCTGCCTGGTCTTCTGGGAAGGATGTTTGAAATGACCATGGCCTTTGGCTGCAAAGTGGAACAACAAGGAACACGTTACCTCTCAGCTTCCAGCGGGCCAGACAAATATTAGCATCAGCTTTTCCTTCTCTCCCAGCCAGCTAAAACTTGGACATGTTTGCTGGAGTAACTTTATATTCTGAGATTCTATCTTTACCTTACATTCTGTTGAAACTTCCTAGTACCACGAAATATTACAAGGGACAGATGGCTGAACGCAAGCTAATTGAGTAAAGGTTACAAAAAAGCAGACCAAATACAATTAGCAGAAAAAAATAAGTATTTTGTAAAAATACATACAGAAGTTAAGCCCGAATTAAAATCCATGCAGGCTTGCAGGTGTTACAGTACCCAAGTCACTAGCTCCTTGAAAATGTGAGTAAGGCTACAGCCAAGGAATCTGTGTGGTGAAACTACTGAATATTTCCTAGAAACAGACATCAGCACATTCCAGAATGCTGCCACTCCTCTTGGGGACAAGGAACAGAGCAGAGGATAAAGAACAGATACAGAGGTTATAAGCTTGCAGTTGCCAGAAAAAAAAAAACACGGGAGAAAAATACAGAAAAGGGAATACCTCTATGAAAGAGAAATTGTCTTCCGTACCACTTCAGCCCAGTGTAAAGAATTAGAGGAAGGAGAGAGAGGTTACTGAATTGGGAGATATTCCTGTTCAGCAAAACACTAAGAACCCATTTAGGGCCTTTTTTTTTTTTTTAAACAAATAAAATCTGTGGGTTTTGGCAAATCTCAATGCTTGAAACAGCTCTCTGGTTGTATACAGCATGTACGGCACAAGACTACAATTGTAATAGTTTTCTGCCGTTGATCAAAACCCTTGGCTGCAAAAGCTATTTATTGCCATGGAAGGCCAAGGACGACAGCCATTCAGTTTAACAGTTTTCATTATTTTTGTAAGAATGACCAAAAAAAAAAAAACAATCAGGAAACAAATGCATCAGTGGGAACAAGAGCATCGCAACCACTAAAACAGGACAGAATACACATCAAATTCACTCCATATGGAAGCTGAAAAAACAGATGACAAATACTCTCCTGGCTTCCTAGCCTCTGACCACAGGACCCAGGAAGGTCTTGAGAGAAAGAGGACCACGGTGTAGACCTGTGCTGTAGGCAGCAGACCTTTAAGAGGACAAGAGGAGAATGAAACACAAAGTTGCTTTACAGTCCTAATAACGAACGGGACTGTAGCAGCTTGTCATATTAATTATAAGACTAATACAAATAGGGGATACCAAGACAAAAGCTTTCCTAGAAGAATATCCTGAGAAAAGTCATATCATCTCCCCCTTCATTCAACACAGCTGGTAACTGATTCACCCTTTTGTCACTAAGTCCTGCTG